CAAACATCATCCACCACACACAAAAATTCCTTCCTCTAAAAAAAGAACGCCTTACTTCACAATGTTCTTATTATTAATTCTCTTTAGTATTGATATTTCTCTAATGGCTGTATAAGGTATGCCTGGCATACTACTACCACCACCAGCAAACTGATTTTGTATACGAAATTTTTTTAATGCAACAACGCATCCTGTTTTTTGATCTCTGCCTCTATATACCACACCAAATGTCCCTGTTTTTATTGATTTTATTGTTATAAAAATAACCATAATAATAATAAGATAATAAAATAAATTCTTTAAAATTTGATTTATTTATGGCTCGTGAATTCACAATATTGTTAAAAAAACTAACCTTCTCCAACTTTTTCAATCTTTATGTACCTATCATCCATATTATTATATATTTTTAGAAATTGAACTTATAACATATATATATATTAAAATGTGAAAATATAATTATGTACAAGAATAGTGTGTGTGGGCGAGAATGATAAAAATAGAAAGAAAGCTTGAAAAATAATTAATTACATAATTATAATTGTATATATTAATATGGGACATACTGCAACAAAACCAGACAAAGCGAACATTATGTTACACGGTTATTGATCATCAACATACGGACGCGATCTCATAATACCAACGAACAAGAATTGGTTAATGGTGGTTATGACAATAATGATAACAAAGATGAAGAAGACGAGGAGATAGAAGAAAATAGTGATAATGGCGAGGAAGGAAATAAATCCAATAATACAATTGAAGAGAGTTTTTCTTGCAAAATAAAAAATTTTTTTATATATTAATATATGGTTGGTTCGGTCTAAAGACCTCCTGTTGCTGCGCCACGCGCTCAACAAAAATTGCGATTTCGTGATTCGTTCAAAAATGCAATGAAAGGTCTTCACGTGATTTTGTTAAACAATTATTTTCTTCCTGCCAAATTTAGATATGATTGTCGATTGTTAGTCTAAATTTAGCAATGATCCTGGCACATGAGCATAATAAAGTGCATGTTTTAAGAATAGAACTCTACAACAAATAATTTTTTTAGAAAATATCTCTATTACATTAAAATTAAAGACTTATTCCATCAATTAATAGAGCTCTTTTTAAAAGGTAGGATAGAACATGACTTCTATACTTTTAAAATTTGCACAAAATTTAGGTCTTTAGAATGTGCTAACTATATAATTCAAAAAATAGTTTAAATCAACATGAAACACGAAAACATTCTAATTATCATGAGTATCCTTTAAATGTCCCTTCTCCTTCAGAATTTAAAAGATCATTAATTTTTAGTATTGACCTTACATCATAGAAGTTTAGGGGAAAAGTCATTGACTATTCAATGTGGTGAGGGTATGTTATTAAAGGTGATATTTGCCTGCTAGACATTCTTATCTATGTTGATTCATTGGAGAAGAAGGCAGTGAAAAATTAAGAGATTTAATTGGTGATGAAGATTGGGCAATTAGGTATTATGTATGACAATAATCAATATGTTTATGCAGATATTATTAATAATCCAATAAAAGTAGTATGGAAGGAGGTTGAGTTAGTAGAAGTCAATGGTATTAGTATTTCTTCAAATATAATTAATTTTTTAACAAATAAAGGATATGATATTTTTTTAGGGAATTGTTATTCGCACCCCTCCCGTGACTAAGTGTAGTAATGTGACCAATGAATGGCTTTAAAATGTGATGATTTTATTGGTTCATCTTTGTTTTAGTCACGGGAGGGGTGCGAATAACAAAAATGGGAGGTGCGAATAACAATTCTCTTTTTTTATTAATGTTCTTTTGTAATTTAATATTTAATAATGAAAATAATTAATTCAATTAAAATATTTTTAGAATTAAAAGATATATATATAATTATAAAAGGTAATCTAATTGTTTATATTCAATTTATTATATTTTTAATGTTTTTAATGGTTGGTATTTGATTATAATTATAATATAGAAAATGATTTTCATGTTCTAAAGCCTTTTTTTTGCTTTCTACCTATACAAGTATTTTGACACTGTCATAAAGGGGGTTACACATGCCATAAAGGAGTGTTATTAATAGTGAGTGCTGTAATTAATTTCTACTTTCTATCATCAAAATCGGAATAATTTTGACCATTGAAATCACCAAACCAATTTAGGCTGCGTGTATATTTCTATCATTTTCTAAAATATTGATTTATTTGCATATGTTTTTTTTTTCAACAGGACTACATGTGAATGTCTCAGCTCCATAATTGTGATGATCATCATAAATTCATACATGATGAACCAACACATGAATATAAGTCACATCATTATTTGTATATATCCTTTTATATAATTATTTTCACATGGATCACCAATTGATGATGTAAGAAATTTAGCCAACCATAATTTTTAAAAGCAATTAAGTCTGTTTTAAGATCTTGTAAGGCTGTATAAGGATTACCAAAGTCATTCCACAACTGATGGATAATGGTTGCTCTATTTCCAGGTAAAATGTTTTCTAAATTATAATTTTTTAGAACTTTAATTTATCTCATTGTCAGCTAGTGGGACAAAAAATAAAACTTTCAAACCATTATACATAAGTTCCCTCCAGGAGTTCACATATCAAATCGATTTCAGGCCACATAACTGTGGTACAAGTGGTCCAAAGATGGTACAAATATCATAATTGTACCAAATTCATTACCCATATACAACATAATAAAACATCCAAAATCATATCAAAATCAATATCAAATTATTTGGTACAAGTGGGCAAAGGATGATTTTCAATATTCCTATCCACAACTCCCTTAAATATATAATAATTTTTCGATTTTTTCCATTGCCTCTTTGTACCAATCTACTTTTCTATCCAAAATGCATTAATTTATCTTCCAGAACCTCAAATCCAATACTTTCTTGGTACAAGGACGAATTTGTACCATCTTCAACTCGCTCTTTGTACCAAATTTTTACATACTAATTTTTTGAATTGAACATACCCATACTATAAATATCTGAGTAGATGTTTGACCAGAATTTGCAATGAACTAATTTGACCAATAACAAAAAAATGAGTGTATTCAGCACATCTAATAAAGAATTCAATGATTTACACCTTAGATCCCTTCTTGCTTCAGCTAAAACTCCTCAAGAATTGCAACCAGCTAAAGTATATTTATTGAGATATTTGCTTGTGCTGATGTGGGAGTATATAGATGGATGCCAAAAACTCAAACTGTTAAGCATTATAATAAAAGAGATGCTTGTGAATCCCTTATTCCATGCGGCACTAAAAAGTTTACTAATGATGAGGGTGAAGTGATAAATAAATTTAGTTTTCTATCATGGTTTTAAATAAGACTCCATTCTTTGCCCTTGAATTTAATACATCTCATCCTCGTGTCTATCAAGCTCCAGATGGTGGGTATTATATTAATCAATTTCTTCATCCTAATCCACCCCCATTCTATCAATTTAGCAAAGAAATCCAGGATCAGGTAAAGTTATTAATTACTTAACCATATGAGAGAAGTCCTTTGTTCTTCTGATAAAAAGCAAGAACTCTATATGATGGGATTAATTTCATGAATAGCTACTGACCAAAAAATGCAAAAATCAACGTTTCTCTATTTAGGTCCAGGAACTGGTAAAATAATGCTTATATGGTTCCTCTGAGAAATGGTTCTTGGCCCCAAAATTACTCATAAATTTTCTAATGAAAGAATTATTACCAGGCAATTTATAAAGAATTGGAAGGTGAAGTTTTACTTGTTCTTGAAGAAATGTCTAACTCAAAGTCTGGTGACTGGATAGCATTTGCAAATCGATTTAAAGACTTTATTGATAGTGATACCTTGATGATAGAAGAAAAACACAAGTTACAAATCTAATTATTAGTAAAACAATTCGTTTAGATAAAGATGACCGAAGATATTTCATTCCAGATGTTTCAGATAAGTATGTAGAAAACGGAAAGGGCTTGGATTTGGTTATGTGTTTATGAAGGCTTTCATATCAATAAATGATCGATCAAAAGTTATTGGTGAATTAATATGAGTGACAAAATCAAATGGATGTTGGAATTAATAGAATCTGACAAATGGATCTCCTGAAGCTTTGGACTAGAGGTTAACACCATCAACCGCAATATTTTTTTGACCGATTAACTCTTTATTGTTGTTTACCTAACTAGAATACATATAAAAATAAATACAAAATACCAAAACATAATCTATATATTAACATATCTATAATGATGAAATAAATATGGGTAATGCTATATACTGCGTTAGAGTTTCCTACCGCTTTAAAGAGTTGATACTCTTTACTTTTTTTTTGGATGGGCTTGGATGTGACTTATGACTAGTGTTTCTATTCGTAATACAACTCGAATTATTTGTATTCAAGTTATTCGTTTTATTCATTTTACTCGAATAGAAAAAAATAAATTGCTATTATCACTATAAAGGGAAAAAATCAATCACTACAACTATTATTTATTATTAATTGACTAAAGAAAGTAAATAAATAAATTTTACTACTGCTACCACGATTATTATTATCACTACAAGGAGTACCCGAAGGAAAAATAGATTATTAATAGGATTGGATAGTACATATTACTAGACTAGTATTATATTATTATCCGAATTTGCCAGTTAAAAATTTCACGTGATTAAACTAACCAGTTAAAGAATTTTTGCGCGATGAGAACTTAAATATTAACGCTAAAAATCAAAAATAAATACGTAATTGATAATTTGGAAATACGTGTAAAGTTGGTGTGTTTGTTTTTTAAAATATAAAAACGTGTGACGAAACCTGCGAAATCATTTTATAGCACCTTCCATCAATTAATTATATAAATATTTTATCCATATGATGAAATTTCTAGAGTTAAGAAACAATCACTACCCTAAAATATATTGTTACTAAAGATTTTCCTAATTGTAATTAAACCATTTGTTGTTTATCAATATCATAAAGAAGAAAGAAGAAAATACAAGTTTAATTCTTTTTTGATGCACTGCTGGGTTATATATAGTAAAGTTTATTGTGTATAAAAATGTTATCTACATGTATATATCAACTTTGCAAAATCAACATCAACCATATTATTATTGCTATTATTATATTATTCCCACAAATATTCGTAATCCTCATCCTCGTAATCTTTTTCTTCTACAACTTCAACTTCTGTATCTAATGTAACACCCTTCAATTCCCAAACCAACCCTTCTTTATCTTTTCTTCCAGTTGATCTAACTTTATGATCATCATTAAGATCACATGTATAATAACCATCAGGACTATATTCATATGCATGACCAATAACTCCATCAATGTGATTACGAATCAATTGATTTGTTGCTCTAGTTTTATTAGCGTATGCCCCCACAATACTAACGCTAGTGCTATAATCACATATTGTACTTTCCATAAGAATATAAATTTTAGCTTTTTTAAGTGAATTGATGTAAGCAATAATTTTTGGTGGTATGTTAACAACACGATACCAAAATCTAGATACTAAACGACAATTATTTATTAAAGTTGGAACAGGTAAAAATGAAAATATGTGTAATAATAATTCTGGTGATGAGAAAACTCGCTGAATTGTTTCTGTTGTAAATGTGAAAGTAATTTCTTCTGGTGAGGATGGAATAGAAATAATTGATACTGGCGAAGATGTTATTGAAATGGTCGAATTCATATTATTAATATCTTTGATATCATCGTTGACATTATTATCCTCACTATTATTGGTATTGGTGCTATTAGTATTGATCTTGTTGTTGTCATTTTGGGTATTCTTGTAGTGATAATAATAATCGTGGTAGCAGTAGTAAAATTTATTTATTTACTTTCTTTAGT